GGCATAACCCCTGCCTCTGGATTCATTAGGGATTCAACTCTCACCAGGAACCCCCTGCATGTTTTACTTCTCATCCCTCTCACATAAACTCAAACTTAGTTCTTTCATGCCAGTTGATAAGAAGCTCAAAAAGGCAAGAATTCTTATAAAGACTACAAGATTACACTATACTACAGGGACAGCACTAGGTCTAAGAATGGCAAGAAGAGGCTCAGGCCACCCTACTCCCACACCCTCTCTGAAACTCCCCTCCCCACCAAGTCCACCTCCATCTGGGCTACAACCACTGCTAGAAGAACTATGCATTATTTCTTTTTCCTGATGCTGCCTCATTGGCCAGCCACTCTTTCTGCCTCCTCCTGGCCTCCACTACTGCCTGGGGCACCTCATCCTCAGAGACATAGGAGGCACACTAACATATCTTGCTGCAACCCTGGCACAGGCACCTTGAACTCACACTACTCCCTCTGTCAAGTGTAAGCAATGCACTGCAAAAGCTTAGTTGGCTTGAACAGGGAAGAATCTCACTAGCTACTCACTGAGGCTTCTGCCTAGCACCATTCAAGGACCAGAGGATTCCTCACCCACCCAATAGTCCCTGCAAACTGCTCCAGTGTCACCACCACCTGCACAATCCTGTGAGACTCTGAGACAACCTGCACCACCCCCAGCCCAAGGCTGGGCCTTGACTACAATGCCAGGACTGACCACAACACTAGAGCTGACTATGATGCTGGGCTGACCACAATGCCAGGGCTGACCACTATGCTGACTCCAGGGTCTGAGAGAGGCCCTCAGACAGGCCCACTACTGCCACTGACAACTCTATAAGTGGGCTAGCCTGGCCTAAACACAGAGTCAGTGCACCTATGACCACAATACATTGATGCCACCTTCTTATGATCCTGCCAATAATCAAACTCTGCATGGCAGACCTTGTACTCTGCCCACATGTCAACACAGTTTTTGTCAGAGGGAGGGGGAGTTGGGGAAGCAACTGATGAAGAGGCTGGCTCAGATGCTGAGGAAGACATTGGGAAGAATTAGGGAAGCACTAGGGTATGTCTGACCCTTTTAATTGATTGGAAAGAGCCCCCTGACAAACAGTGGCCATGCTTTGACTTTGTTCCCCATGCTGCTGCCACTTGCTGTGGTTTGATCAATTTTACTTGGCTTTGGTTCCCACGCCCTGCTGATCCCCAACTCATGCTCTGCATCTCAGAGGTCTTGATGCTGAAGAGGGGGTGATGTCATAACCCAATCCCAGACCCCCAACCCTCTTTCCCAAGCCACCCACTTCTCCAGAGTTCCCCCCAGAATCACCCCAACCATTGTTCACCTATGGCACCCACCTTGGTTAACTCCAATGCTTCCCCAGCAAACCCCAACATGTCTCCTGCAGATCCCATCATTTCCCTTTCCCTTTCCAAGCCTCTAGGCCCCTCCAACATCTCTCCTGACTCAGGCTATACTGTCCATTTGTTATAACAACAGCCTGTACTTACAGCATAGTCATAATATAACCAGCATTGTAACTACAGCATCACCAATTTTCAGTCAAATATTTCGCCAATTGGGAGAATCAAACCTGTGACCACTATCCCAAAAACAACGATTGATACAACCATAACCAGTTGACCATGGAGCCTTAGTTACAATGCAAACTTGTTGTGATAAGGGGAGCAAGCTCCCCTTCAAAATATCCCTGGAACCCTAAGCATGTTAACAAAACCTTAACAGAACCTTAACAGAACCTAACCAAACCACTAACTCCCTAACCGTAACTCTAACTGAACTCTAACCAGGCTAACCATGTGCTCAACAGGCAGGCCTCATGGGTACATAGGCCTTAATGTGTTGAATCTATTATTGAGCTTGTTAGTTCAATGGTTGTATTGTGTCTTTCTTCCAATTATGTGCATTAGTATTAAGGTTGTTGGTTCAATTCTCTTTGGTTGATTTCTTTTTGTCCGGTTCAACATTTGATGCTGTTGACAATTATCACACGTGATTGATGTAACAAGCAGCGCTGTAATTACAACTGTGGTTATATCAGGCTTATCCTGTCATGACAGGGGATGTTATATCATCCTGCCAGCATCAGGTGGACCCACTCAATGAAAAATTCATCTCACTCAATCGTCCAATCTGTCTTGAACCGTACCACCTTCAGCACCGCTACACAAACCCCGAAAGCATACCTTTCCGCAACAACCACATCTATGCAGTCATCAATGCTGGTGGTGCCAGTTCTTGGAACAGTGCAATTGTCCTTGGCAATATTGTGGTGTTCGTTCAAAGTAAATGAAGGATCATGAATGCCTTCTCAGAGGATGAGTTCATCATACAGGAGGATGACAAGCTGCACTTATGGGCTTGCAAAGACCATTACACAGTCCTGGTCAGCGATGCAGGCATTGTGAAGAAACCAATAGGAGGTCAATCTTCGATCGTTATCTACAACCAAGAGAAGCTCAATCAATGGTATGGTTCCGTATTGGCACAACGACACTCATATCATCGATCGGCGCTCCGGGAAGGTGTCCTCGAAACTTTGCTGCAGCGAGACGAGCAAATGCAATGATCATTAACTCCAATACAAATGTCAAATTACAATTTTAACGCTTTGGGATAACTGTCAGCTGCAGGAGATAGTCTGAAAGGCCCAATCGATTTGAAATTGAATTGAAGTCCTAGAGAAGAGCTCTAGTAGACTTATTCAGAAGAAGATCGTAAAGTAGGCTAGATCATGGCGGTGCACCTGCGGTCGGTGGTTCGTTTAAATGACGATATGCGTAGGGCGCGGGTGCTCTCATTCAATCTCACAAGAGCCATACAAGGCAAGCGGCCACTTTCGAGACTGAACGACTGGTGTGGGTACACAATTTTGTGGCCGGCGATGAAACAGTACGGAGAGATTTTGGGTATGTGGTGCAATCGCTTTCGTGTGAATACATCGCAATCGTCAGTGATGGAAGCCTCTCTTCCTTTATTCTGTTTTATTTTGTTCAGAGAATGACACTATTCTTGCGTTTCGTTGGTTAACCAACCAAAAAAAATGTTTGGGTGCTGGGCAGAGCACAGCTCGTACTGCTTCATCGAAAATGTTCTTGAGGCCTTTTTGTGTGAGTGCCCTGGAGTCGAGACATTGAACGGCATTGATTTCCGCAGTGTTTGTCTGGATCTGTACGGAAACATTGATTTTCCTATCATTGGAATACTTGATTCCGCGATGTCAAGTCGAATGAGTTAGCTCATGCCTTGCCCTTGCCTCCGGTTCGTCTGTATGTATGGTACGCGTTATGAAAAGTCATGAACCAAGTAATCAGTCTTCAAAGGTTCGCTCGTAAATGCTACTGCACTCAACCTCTGATGAATCGGTGCTGATCAGTCGAAATGAGAATTGTCCTTTTGATAATGTGCTTATGGCCGCACTTGCTATCTTTCTGATTTTAGCCGAACGAGCCCTCGCAAAATCAGGATCACGTGGCATGTGGAGACGGGTTGCAAGGGGTCCGTCGGGGGTCCCCGGTCCCCCCGTGCGTTGTAGCAGCGTTGTCTTCATGTGAACCTCACGAAAACTGCGGTTGTAAGAGGTCGCGTCTCACGAGGACATCACGATCACGTGGACCAGTGACAACACGTATGAGGTCACTCAAGTTCTTTCAACAGATTATCCGTCCAGCATCCATCTCCTATCGGCGTTATTATGCCCGGCCCTTCCAATCCTCAAAGGAAACGCAAACACAAAGGCAAAGCTGTCAAGAAGAGGCAGCAAGAAACTACTGAAATGACCGACTGCAACGACACTTTACCGCCGGCGCACTCACCATCCATCACACTTATGTCGAACGCCCGCGCAGGGAGTACGCATGAGACAGTGACTATGGTGGAGTGTTCGACGAGGATTCAAGTTGAAAATAGTCAGGAGTCCAAACCTCGTCCTAAACAAAAAGCGGCGTCGGCCTCATCTCTCATGCCTAAAGCCCCTTTCATTCATGACCCGGGAAATGGGCCTCGGGTACGGGATGTACGCGCATTTCTTTCATCTAGATTCTTTGCTCAACAACCTGCGCTTAATGTACGTCCACCCAATACTTCCCTATGTTCAAGGCGCCAGAAGTGTCTTCATAGGATCCGTTGTGCGCCGAATTTGCACAGAAGGAGGTGCTTGAGATGCTCAAGACCGTGTTGCCTGAAGAAGTTGCCCTTGTGCGTTTCCAATAGCTTGTTCATCCCATAACTCTAACTCTCAAGGACTTCGTAGATTCTTTGGTACAACAAAAGCCGTTCTACAAGTCGAATATGTCCGACTTGCCACCGCCTTTATCGCCTCGGTGACGTTTTGGCAGACCACATCCCCAGTCAAAACCCTTTTCATGGCATGAACTCGTCGCCAAAAATGCAGAGAGAGCAGACCATCAGTGGATTGTGTATGTATCTTCTTGATACATATCCTTGAAATTTGTTTTGCCTTTCTCATGATACTTTGTTAGGCTCCGCCATGTGCTTCATTGCTGCATCATACAGCTATCCCAACGCAATTAAATCTGCCTGGGGCCGTACAGCAGAGGAACTCGATGATCAAACATGGAATCTCTTGAATGGGCTTCCAGAGGACCCTGTAGGTGACCCAGCACTAACTATGTTGATGCGAATGACCAGATTGGATGATCTTGGGCTGGGTCGACTTTGTCTGGGTCTTGATCCTGAGGACGTGCCAAGATGAATAGGGAGGTGTTCATGCAGGAAAGATAGAATGGGCTATGATTCTTTATCCGAGGTAACTCAACTGCTTTTTCTTTGATCGAAGTGACGTGTGGATCTATAGGATTTGTATCTTACAATCAGTACAATCTTAAAGCTCATTTTAATCAGACTCACTTCGCATTCCGTTCCGTGCTTTTGGGTGATGGCAGCTGACAAACCGCACTCGGTACAGATGTCGAACAAACTTGCTTCATCTGGTAAAGTAGTGGCAATGGTTCGTGGGAACCTGTGGCGGGTTGGCGTAATGGTAACGCGTCAGTTTCCGGTCGAGTTAGCAAGCCCAGCTGAAGAATCCGGGTTCGAGTCCCGGGCCTGTCGTTTAGTGGTCTGTCACACATCAACTTTTTCATGTCCTTCACTGATCTTGTAATCAGATATCCATAGAACACCTTTCTTGTTCTCGGTGGAGGAAGTCGTGCGTCACATGTGCACATAAGCGCCCACAGCTCAACCGGTGATTGATTTGAATACAATACAATGCCAAGCAAGGTACGCAGAAATGTATTTGTGGACCGGTGGCTCGTTTTAAACCCGAACGTACAAGTGCGTGAGGTCAATCTTACGATGATATCAGCGACTTTGCCACCGGCTGTACGAGTTGTTCTTTCACATTCTATCAAAATTCCGTACTTAACCTTTCTTTTGTTCCCAATTTGTTCCTTATTGTCTAGAGAAAGTCAGAGTCTAGAAGCGCACACAAAGCAATGGCATATAAAAGCTGGCATCCCAATCGCCCAATCGCCCAATCGTCAACAACCTCTCCCAACTACTGTTGTGGTTCTTACTAGTGCCTTCTCTTCAGCATATACAACGACCTCATGCTCAGCACCCATATACACATCCACGACTGTGTTCCAGCCGTCCTTTCACTCTCGTGTCGTGAGGGCATGCGCCACACTGGCACACGAGAGTCTGGGTCGTCAACAGACTATCACGTGCTAGTTTGTGAGTGTGGCATTGGTTTGTCTGGCTGATCGTCAACTTCACTATTTGCAGATGCACGGTGATCACTCGAGAAGTCAGTATCTGGCATGTAAGCTCTTGGTTTCTCATTGCTAATCTGTTTTTGACGTATTCTGCAATACAGCTCGCCACATTGCTCGATTGTGCCGCCTTTTAAGTTCCTGGTGTTCGGACTCTCTGGTCAGGAGCAGCGTCCTTGCCTATGTGTGTCTCAAGGTAAAGTTTGTGCCTGCACCAACTGCTGCTTGAGCTCATATTAAATTATTGTTCAATAATCATCCCAGATCTTCAACTCGCAAGACATTCAAGATTGAAGATCAAGGTATGTTGACCATCAATGAGTGTCTGCTTCATCTCCTGGTGACACCATATCAACTCAGACCCCAGGACAACCTCAAGAACCAAACTTTTGTTGTGTGATTGCGTGATTGCGTGAACCTTTTGCCCCTCTACCTGTCTTGCCGCACCTTTTTTTTCATCTACCTTTTCTTCTCGTTTTTAAAAGTAGAACTTACTATATAAGCACTCACCATCACGGTCGCGTTCTTCCTTGCCTCATGAGAGGTGCGCTCCCATACTATCTTGTCCGGCATAATCTCTAATTCTTTATCTTCCAGTCGAAACCCCTACGAGTTTCCACACCTAAACTATCTGACACCCGGTGCTGATTCAAGCTAGAGCTTCTTTTGTCCAGTAAGTTGACCTCTAAATATGACGTCTTCCGAGGCTAAAATCTTGTCAGCGTATCAACACCAGCATGTATATGATCGAAGCCAATGGATTGAGTAGCGGCAGATATGAAGCCGCAACCTCCTTCCATTAAATATATGGCATTTGATATTGGGAGCTGAGCGTTGTCTCTGAACCCTAGAGATTGGCCTTGTGTTCCTTGTCTAGTAAGTCGGCCGAGACCACGAAAACTGCTCTTTCTCATTGTGTGTCTGACAGCTTTCAACGATTTAGACTCGGGCACTATCCGTGTCTGTTAAGGCTCATCAACGAACTTCCTCAGTTGCACATATGTAGATATATATGTCCGCATAGCCAGGCTGATCAACTCTTTCATAACCCCTTGTTTCTTCTGTTGATCGACTATTCGGGATCCGAAGTACGAAGCCACTGGCCATACTCGCCGCTCAGGTCTATACAACGATTGAGTAGGCTACATATCAAGAGTAGCCGTTCAACCGTTTGCGTTCTTAGTTTGCATTGCTCGGTTAAGGCTGAAATTTGCCCTTGATTGATATATATAGCAACATGTTGCGCCTCGTTTATATACACAGAAAAGAATCGTTGATATCCTATTTATCGAGATCAAAATTGAAAAGTCTGACTGGTACGCTTGACTCCCGTTTATAATTCAATCTAGTTATTCTGCACTTTTTCGCCTTGACGGACGTTAACGTTCATCCATGACATCACGAATCTACGACGTTCATATGTTATTTATGGTCCGAAATCCGACCACATAAACCGTCTTTTTTCCAACATTTTTCTCTCGTATATCCCTTTTCAAAAACCAGATTTTGTAACATGAAGTGCACCACATTCATTCCAATTATAGCGTTGAGCTACTTTCCTCTCGTCTTCGGAGCAGAATACCTTGTTGGAGTAGGGAAGGACGAAACTACGGGGTTCGTGTACCAATACTTACAAGATTTTTACGGTGACCCACCTCGCTCACTGTGAAATGCAGTAAAAAGGGTCTTGGTTTCGATCCTTCTGTCATACAACCGGCAGTAGGCGATACCATTGTATGGGAGTTCCGAAGTGGCCAGCATAGTGTCGTCGGTTCGTGCCCAACTTCCTATCTTCCTACCATCCTCGTATCTACAAATAATTTTGCTGAAATGCATCCACTACGCCTCACTTATCAGAATCAACATTCGATAATCCATGTGTAGGCAAGATTGGTGGCATCAATACTGGCGTTCAGACGGTAGGGCAGATCAGATATCTTTCATGTCAAACGTGCAAACAATCAACTTTTCTTTAGGTATCTGACTCTTTAGCTGTTGATGCTCCTGGTTTACCGAAATACACGGTGACAGTGAACAGTACTGACCCACAATGGTTCTTTGACGAAGCTGGAGGATTGTGCTATCGGGGTGCCGTTCTCGCCGTCAATCCTCCTACCACTGGCCAGACTGCTGCAGTTTTCGTTGAGAACGCAAAAAAGTCCCCGACATCCACTCCTACATCATCTTCATCAAGTTCGCCGCCAGTAAATCAAAGTACTACTGATGCAGCCTCTGCTACGAAGAGTGTCCCTGCGGTTGCAACTATTGCGAATGCGGCAGGACACGCCGGCCATACAAACGGTCTTCTGCTTGGAATGCTGTCCCTGCTTTTGGCCATGTTTTGAATGTCCTGAACAATGAGTGGACTTGGGTTCGAGGGACTTCCTATACATTGATTTAACCACATTCTTTTGCTGCTACATTACATCTGAGATTTCGCACAATAGCTTCATGGCATTGGGAGAAGCATGAGAAGAGTGATTAAAATTTTTGATTGATGAGCGCTGATGAGCTGCCGAAGATCTCTTTCATTAATGCCAGCACGTGGATCACATACAATACCGACCTCGTTGAACACATCTTACGAACATTACGACCATACGTACGATCTCCTCATATATTCACGACTATGAGTAGTATCTCGCGCTGCCTGAGCGATGTTCCTGAAGAAGGAACGCTGACGCCCACAGCGACGACCTCAAGATCAGATCCATTATCACCATCGGCAGGTTCAGTTGGACCTTCTGTCTCGGCTGCCGGTGCAGTGCTACCGCCTCCAGCTATGGCCGCACCATCCTCACGTCAGGGTCAGAGTGTACCGAAGTTGCGTACTCCGAGCATCAGAACTCTCGGCCGATCAACCAGTGAGAATGTCGTGTCTGATAATACTGCGAAGCGCGTTCCTTCGTCTACATCTACGTCAGTAACTACGACCCCGACGTCTTCGAAACCTAGGAAATTAACCCCTGTCTACTCTGGTTCGAAAATCAAGACTATCCCGACATTACCTCATGACAAGGATGCGACGACCGTACCGAGCACTGCGATGTACTGGAGTCGGGCTCCAGTTTATGGTTCTGTCCCTCAACGCACCATGCGTGCACACACGATGACGTTGGTGGACAATATTGCATGGCTTGTTGGTGGTATCGACGACAGGGATTCCAATAGGGATATGAAAGACATGCATTGCTTCGACACAGGTGCGCTACCTCCATGAAGTCAATCATCCTGCTACTCACTGCCTTGACCAGAAACCATGCAATGGACCATTCGAGAATCAACAGGAACAATTCCTCCTCCGTTTCGAGCGCATACTACGACCCTCATCGACCGAAAGCTCGTTGTAATCGGAGGCGGCTTCGGCATGAAGTACTTCAGCGATGTATACGTTTTTGACACCGTAACGCGTCAATGGTCTACCCCGGTCGTCACCGGCCCCTGTCCAATACCACGGCGTGCGCATACCGCTGTTTTGTATCAACAGAAGATTTGGATTTTCGGTGGAGGCACGGGATTACACGCGCTCAATGATGTGTGGACGCTAGACGTATCGTCTTTCACTAAGATGAAGTGGGAGCAGGTACAAACGTCTGGAAGAACACCGAAGAACAGAGGATATCATTCAGCAAACTTGGTCAGGAACTTGATGGTAGTGGTGGGTGGGAGCGATGGGAAGGATTTCTTTACGGATGTCTGGTGTCTCGATCTTGGTGTGTATCCTTTGTCTTGTTATCGCCACTAGAAAAAGCTCATAAATAATGCAGATTCGTGTCATTGGAGTCAAGTTACGCTCCTGACAAACAAGTATAAGCGCATAGCGCATAGCGCAACACAGGTTGGATCGTTCCTCCTGATCACAGGTGGCTTCAACGGCGAGGAATACTGCTCCGAAGTCCTTCCCTTTAATCTGGGTGTCTATCTTCCACTACTCTATCGTCTGTAACTGACTGACTTATCTTATAGTATCTCTAACTTATGAGCCACGCGTTACATATGGGAACCCTCCCAGTGGCCGCGGATATCACGCGTCGATTCTCGCGGACAGTCGGCTATTCCTCTTTGGTGGACATGACGGAAGCAATAGCTTTGACGACGTGTACATCTTAGATCTCGCTGCGGGTGCATATCTGCCACAGGTGACGAGTTTCTGTATCGAGCTGTAGAGAATTCAGTAGTACTTAATATGTTGTTTTCCGAGACGTTCGATTGCATTGGGGACGTCTGTGATTTTGTAGACGCCGCATATATAAAGTATTATTTAATTGTCTTTATAATGTCTTTGCTAGTATATCGGTTAGTACACGCGCCTGTCATTATGACCTTCTCCGCGCG